TAAATCTGTAAGAGAGATTTTTAAAATAATTATTTGTTATAAAGTTATTAGACATTTAATAATTGCTAAAAAATTAGATATTTTTTGCTATCTTGTACTATATAAAATAGTTTTTATTTATAAATAATCAAAATAATACTACTAACAATATAGATATAATCAAATATTATTGGATTAAAATCTGATATATATTTTTTATTAATTAAATAAATTCTGTATCAAAAAATAAAACCTAGTTCTAAACTTTAAATTATATATTATTTGATTTCTATTTGATAACTTTTTAATATTTAATTTTTTTAGATTCACAACTATGTTAAAGTAATTTATTCAACTCCAAGACGTTATCAAATATATTTAGATATTTGTGAATATGAATCTGAAAGTTCTATAATTCTATTATTAAATTGCAATACTTGATAGAATTCTACTTTTATAATATTACAATTAGCAAAAATGAAAGACAAAAGTAGAATATATAATCTTGAAAATTGTTATAAATATGGAATTGGAGTTAAAATAAATTTGAAAAAAATTATTGAATTGTATCTAAAATCAGCTAAAATAAATAATACTGGAGAAATACAAAATGTTGATTATAGGATGTAGCGACTTAGTGAAGTGGTGAAGTTGTTGTACCTCTAAGCAGTTAAATACAAGTTCAATTTCTACTAAAGATGAAAATTGAATTAGGAAAAATGGATTCGACAACTATTGTCATAGCTAGAAAAACTTGAGATCCTGTAATTGTGGTTGTACCAATTCATCAGAACTGGAAGATCCTGGGCTTTGTGTAATGAAAAGTTACACAAATATGTACAAGTATCACAAAAAGCCACAAGGCCAATACAGCAATAGAATGCTCACTTGACAAAACCTGAATGGAGAGATAGCACAGATTTTTGACAATACTATGTAAAGGATCATTATTAGTAAAATGACAAAAACTGAAGAGGACCAAAGTGTTTCGCAAGCACTCTACTAACCAGGCTATCAGAGAAAACCAGAAGAAAAAGACTCAATCATGAGGACCAGAAGCAGATTGCAGCCCTTCTAGACTATTTGGATTGGTAGTTTGGAATTGGCACAAGTAATGAATAATAGTCTGTAAAGTATGTACCAGGTTTGGGTGAACTCTATAAAGGCAGAAGTAGGTTGTGTAATAGTGATCAGGCTATACTTAGTTAAAATATTATGAAAAAAAAGTAAAACGAGTAAAAAAATAAAATAAAACTTATTTCTGATATCTGAAACCAAATAAATCATCAAATCGATCGATTCTATTAAAATGAACGCATGAATGTATCACACGGAAATAGCTATGACACAATGTATATATCAAATATAAGAAGAAGGTAAGTTAAAAAAAGCAGCGAAAATAAAAATGAAAAAGTAGAATTAAACATATCTATAACAACAGAGTTCTTAGATAAACGACTGAATCATAAATGCTAAAGAGGATAGGTTAGAACTAAAATAGATAGTTTTTTTTTTTTTTTTGTATATTGAATCGTGAATTGTATAAAAAGAGCTTGTAAAAAATTTGAAAATAAAAAAGTTTTAAATACACAAAAGACTAAGCAATATTAAATGAAATTAATCCCAATGATATATTGCCAGTTGATATTGACACAATTTTTGATATTGATGAAGATAAGGGGTCCGATATGGATATTAGCGATCAGAAGCTGGACGATACCCTTAATATGCTTATGAACGCAACAGATAGTGTTGGAGAAGAATGGGAGATGAATGATGATGATGAAATACCGCTGAATTCGCCAAATGCAGAAAGATCGAAGATGGTTTATCTTCCTGAAGATACATATAAAGACTAGATAATCAACCTAGAGAAAGCAGGACTTAGTTATACTCGACATGAATGTAAAGTGATAGTAGCTAGTTCAAGAAAAAAAAATGTATAGACTGAGCGTTGGCATTGTCATCACTATAGAACTTATATTAGTGCTGCTAGAAAGGATCTTAACAAAAAAACCATGACTTACACAGAAGGAGACAAAGAAATATGGATGCAAGAGCTATATCCAAGTTGCGCTTCCAATTAATTCATCGACTGTGACTCTCAAATATTATTACAAACATAATAATCACCAGCCCGGTCAATTATCTGACTTGTATACACTTCCATTATCAGAAAACATTTAACAATTTATAAGACAACGTGCATTAGAGGGACTCGATACTTATAGCATATATCGGCTTTTGTGACATTGAGAAATTGAACTCCTAGAGCAAGTACAAAAATTGGATGTAAATAATAATAATAATAATAATAATAATAATAATAATAATAATAATAATGATAATAATAATAATATTCGAACATTAAGAGATGGACTTGTAACAAGGGACAACATATATGCAATTGTACGTGATGCAATGAAAGTGTGTGCATATCTTGATAACAATGAAATGAGTTTCTTAAAAAAATATCAAGAAAAATTAACTTGTGCGGGTGGTTATTGTTTGTTTAAGCATAGTGATAATGACAGAGGATTCATGTTTGCTTTTCAAACAGAAAAGCAAAAAGAGCTAATGAAGGCCGCAAGAGTAATATACCTTGATGGTATGCACGGGCTAAATCAATACGGATACCATCTTTTTATGCTTATAATACGATATCCAGCATCAGGTAGTGGATATCCAATCGCATTCCTTATTAGTAAGTATAAAAGATCAATTACATTAAAAAGTTGGCTTGATTATTTAAAAGCCATATATAAGGAATGGGATCCAGATATATTCATGGTAGACGATGCTAGAGAAGAAATCAAAGCAATCAAGGAAAGCCTTCCCAATTGTACAGTATTACTCTGCCACTTTCATATGTTAAGAGCCTGGCATAGAAAATTAAATTATCATCAAGGTAAGTAATAATACAAACTAAAAAATCAGATTAATTGATTAAAAACATTAGCCCGGCTGTCTTTGTTACTAACTTACTGTATGTGTATCTTACCAATTAACTAATCGATTAGTTGAATAAAATGTCTAGTTAAATAAAATAATCTATCAACTAATCATTTTAAAAATTTTCATTGATTTGTTTTACTAAAGGTAAGAATAAAAATCCACATAAAACAATTATATGGAAGGACCT